GCTCGTAAAATTGCGACTGACACATGCGAACAAAGTGTTGACTACTGTGCGACCCACTGTAGTTGTTGTTGTTGCTGTTGCTGGCACTGAAATCTGGCAATCGTTATTACTATTTAATAGAACATGGCTTTTATAGCCAACTGTGCCCATTTTGCTGTCGCTGTGCGCCTTTTCACACATTCATTTTCAGTGGCAGCATTTGATGAGTGCGCACAGTGTGGCCAAAGCTATTGACATAAAAATGGCCAAATGCTAAGTAATTTCAATTTCAGATTTCAAAAGCAACCCCAGCCCAACCCCCCCAAAAAAAAGGCAAAGAAATAAATATACGTAGTTGCCAAGTCGAATCAGCAGCGGTAAATGCAGCTTGAATTGCCTTTTGGGGACGCACCTTGCCGGTGCCCCGATGTCCTCAACATTGGGCAACATCATCAGCCATTCATTGGCCTCCACCCCGGCAATTGTTCAACCTTGCGTAACGCATGCACATTTATAAGAATTGCGCATAACTTTAAGCAAAGCTGTCGAGGCACACGACCCAGCTCAAGCACAAGTGCTCCCTGCTCCCAACCCCGACCGCCCAGTTGCCGCGAAACTGTGCTGGCCACAAGTCGCCACCCCATACACCTCTTGCCAGGCCGTTGCCAGGACACTTGGCCACTTCGCCACCCTCTCATGCCCAGCAGCATCGTCATCATCATCCGTGGCGTAGCCGCAAGGACGACGATGCCGTTGCCGCCGCCGCCGCTGCCGCTGCCTCTCGTAAATGCCAAATCTCAAGGGTGGCATAAATGTTGTCCCTCAACTTGGCTCGTCTTTCTCGCCGCTCCAGCTAGTTCCTCTTGTCGCTGTGCTGGCTGATAGCTTAAGTGGCTGCATTATTGTCGGGGCTTAACTAACACTAAAACTGATTGATTTTAATTCTCATGCATTTACATTCATTACGTTTCATTGACCAACAGCTGAATGTCCCTTTGAGCTGGCTACTTGATGAATTGCTTTCGATTTTTATTGAAACTATAATTTTGAGGCATTGAAAACTAATTCAAGTTTAACTAAAACCAATATGAAAAGTGGAAAAAGAACGTTTTTCTATTCAAAATAACAAAATTATAATGATTAATTAATCATTTTTTAAAAATATCCAATTGTCCTCAACTCTACTTCACATTACAACTGATTCCAGTTATATTTATTGTAATTGCTAAATTAATAAATTATAAATATTTAAAAACTCGCACAAAAAAGTAACCATAAAACTAAATGCAATTTATTGCAAATTATACTTTAAAATGTCTTTAATATAATTTAATTTATTAAAACTCGAGCTGCTCCCAACTTTTACCTGTAAAATTATTCATAGTACAATGCATCCCATTCAAGCTTCATTTTATTAAATATTTTAAAAATAATCACAAAAACCACAAATTAAATTAAAAATCCGTTGTCCTGCTTGATTTAATATACATATATATATATATATATATATATATCTATAATTTTATTAGCTTTCGACTCATTATCATCATCAAGTAGCTCTCATAATATAATATAATTCGCAACAATTAAAAACGCAAAATAAATATGAAAGAGAGCGGCAAAAGCAAGACGTTCTCTTAGACAAATCGCACGCAATGCAAGCGAAGAGTAAATTTCCAAGTGCGCCTGTGCGTATGCAACGCGGTTTGAAGCCGGTTGCGAGCCAAACCAAAACAAAGTGTTCAAACACCCACGCCACGGCACACACACACACACGCGCGCGTTGTTCGATGCCAGACTTGGCGTCTCCAGGCATGTTGCCACTGGTAGACAGCGTGTCCTTGTCTCCGGCTTCTGGCAGCGGCAAATCAGTTGCGGTTTTCAGACGCGGCACAACACAACGTGCAAGCGGATATTGCCACAATTTGGGGCGCATTCCCGTGTACGTAAAAGCTTCGCTACGCTTTCCAACTGAGTTCGCGTGCCATTTATTATTGTTTTGGACAATCGAGCCTTGACATAAAGCCAAAAAAAATTTGTTTGTACTTTGCAACAGGACGCGACAAATTTCCGCTTCGTTGCATTTTGTATTTTGGCTTTGTGCTAAATTTGTTCAAGTTCAGCGCATCGCCGGGCCAAAGGGTTAAAGTGGACTCGAACTGTCGTCTCGCATATCATTACGCGTGCTGATTTTCTAATGACGTTGACGTTGAGTGTGTGCGAGTGTGTGTACGTGTGTGCGTGTGTTCGCATTTATGCATAATTGAATAACGAAGGTGAAAATTGAAATGTTAACAAATTGAATTTGCACTCTTAACCGTACACCCCAACTGTCAGCGGGTCGCTGTCAATTGAAATTGGCCAAGAAACTGGTCTTAGGGCCCGCGCTTCTTGTCAAGTAAATTGCCTAACGAGCCGCAGTCTCAGTCTCAGTCTCAGTCGCAGTCGTAGAGACAACTACGTGCTGCTAGTAAATTTTCTAATTGGATTAGAAGTCATCAACCCGCCAGCAAGGTAAGCGTCATGAACTTCCAAACGACCAATTGGGCTGCCTTTCACCATCTGACAGTCAAGTGGACCGTGTTGCATGAACAAAAGCTTGCCCAAGGTTGAACGGCGGCTAATTGCGCCGGGGCGCTGCGGGGTGCTTAAATGAGTCGGGCAGGTGTCATGTGATATGAATGACTAATTTTGCCAGGCTCCGATTTCTAAGGCCTTAACAGTCGATAGGCCTTTGCAGAGTGTAGTTTCCGGTAATGATTCAGCGAAGAATTCAGCAGAAATCGTTTTAAGTTTCACGAGCAATGAAATTAGCTCCTCTTTTTCATTCGTAACATGCATGTTAAGAATATAATGTTAATGTTAAATTTCCCAAACGGTTTCAGGCTTGAAAAAATTTCTTAAGGCATCCGATTTTGTAACTTTTCTGTGTGCTATATCGTTCTGAGGTACTGAAATGTATAGGGTAGGTGTTATATGATATGAATGCCTAATTTTGCCAGACTTCAAATTCTAAGGCCCTGCTAGACCCTGGACTTACGATAAGTGTAGCTACCGCAAATTATTCAGCGAGGACTTCAACAAAATTAATTTTGAGTCTTACGAGCGATGAAAGTAACTTCTCGTTTTCATTGCTAACATGCATGTTAAAAAATAACATTAATGTTAATTTTCACTGACGTTTTAAGGAGTAAAGGAACCAAATAATTCAGTAAAAATCGGTTTGAATTTAATGAGCAATGCTAAAAGCTCATTTATTCCTTGTTAACAAGCATGTTAAAAAAATAACATTAATCTTAAATTTCTCCAACGATTTCAGGCTTGAATAAAAGTCCTCAGGCATTCGATTTTGTTGTATTAAGCAGTTTTGATCCTAACATGCATGTTAAATAAATAACATTAGTGTAAAACTTTCGAATAAAAGCTATAATGACATTAGTATTAGTAGCTATTACCTCCATGCTTATCTATACGATATGCTCCCTAGACAATTGCAACACGCAATTATTCCAAACTAGGATAAAAAGTCATAAATTCCCAGTTGAACATTAACACTTACCAGCTACAAGTATGGCCATTAAAATGACAATGTTTGGCGTCATTTATATTAATTTACTCACTCTGCTTGCAACTGCCACGCCCACTTGGCAGGCAAGACAGAGAGATAAGCGAAGCATTATGCAAATTGCAATGGAAAAACCACAAGGCCCCGAAGCGACACCTAATAATGAATACTAATTCGCTCATTAACGCTCTGACACGTTGCGAGAAAACATTTATTCTACTTTTAGTTGTTGGCTTTAAAGCCAAAAAGTCTTCACGTGTGAGTTTGTGACGTATGAATTATTAAAATTAATTAAATGAGATTTTGTTTTTGGTTTATTTTTCGTGTTCTTTTTGGGCAAAGTGCAAATGAAGTTGAATGCGGCTAATCAGGTGCCTTCAGGCTGAAACAAGAGTTTACGACCGAGTGTGTGGCATGAGATAATTAAGAATTTAATTATTTACACACACACAGGAACAACAGGCACATATATTTATTAGCCTAGACACAAAACACAACACACGCTTGTTTAGAGGGTCTTTAGAAGTGATTTGATGTCAACTCTGTAAAGAAGTTGGGAGAAGTTCCTTAGAGCCTGGCAGGGCGCATGCAATATTCATAATTCCTCATGCACATAAAACCTGTGGGCGGGCAGGCAGTCTATGCGTTGCAGTTGTCGAGTCCAGCTACAACTGTGTTTGCTTTGGGGCTTTAACGTACCTACGGAGTTTGGTGCCCATTTTATTTGTTTGCTGTCATCGTTTGCTTAATTGAGGGTGTTGCCTTGCTGTGTGTTTGGCTGTTTATTGAACCGGGCAGAGAAAGACTCACAGTCACATTCAGTCACACAACTCTCGATCTGCCACATGCAGCACCATTTAATTATGTACACAAGAGCTTGGCCAGCATTTGGCTCAGGTTTTGCTGTGTTTCATATTTTAGTGATGCTGCCTTTTGCTTTCACTTGTGGCAGCAACTAAAAATGCTTTAACTGCCTGTCAACAAGTTGCTGACAAATGAGCAAACCCAAGCTGTTACTCACGGTCAAGAGGCTCTTAAATAAAAATAAATCCCAGTTTAATGATGGTACTTGTTTTGTAAATTTACGAACTTATAGAGTTTAATTTTGCCCTAGTATGCTGGCAGAATGCCAGTATATGTAAACAAGGCACTGACAAGCAAGAGTTTTATTATATCTTTAAAAGAATCAAACTTTTCTTTGATGTCCTTTTCAAGTGGAAATTTTTAAGTATTTGCTTGCGAACTTTCGCTCTTTCGCCCTTCCTCTAGCTGTTGTTCCTTTGACAGATTATTAAGAAAATTCTGGAATATTTCAAATAGTTGAACATTTCAATCAAAATATTTGCTCCATTTAAAGAAAAGAACGAATTTTTCTTCACGTTTATCATATGTGCTCTTTCTGTATATTGTTGCCATAAAATCCTTCTGCAAATTGAGTAATACATTTTTTTTTTACTCATCCGGAAATCATAAAGTTTTTGTTGTACGTATGCCAATGCGTTGTGATTACGTATTCGCCCGTGCCAATGGGCATCGGCAGGTTGAAGTTTTTATCGAGGCGCAGGCGATCGACTATCACATTATGCTAGATAGCAAAAGCTCAAGTATTATAAATTTGATAGCCATATATATTCTCGAACGACTCACATTGTAGGGACACGAATGATTCAGGTTCGAGTGGAATTCGAGGCGCAGGAACTTGTAGACGGCATCGGCAATGGGATTGCGCCTGTTGCTTTGCATGAAAATGCAGCCGTCTATGTTGTAGCTGTAAAATGGTAGCTTGAAGCGACGCCTGATATCGCCGCGTATCTGCAGATCAAGAAGAAAAATATATATAAATACTTTCTATATAAGCAGATATATGTGCACCTACCGTCACATTTGTCACGGGCAATTGCAGCAATTTGACAGTTACCGATACCTCCTTGACTTCGCGATTGTATGCCTTTATAATGCAGTTCTCAAACACAAGATAGCTCGGATCGACGCTGAGGCATTCCAAGCCCGTCAATTTTATGAATGCCGCCAAAGTGGGCGTGGCAAGCAGTGAAAATGCCACGCACAATATTTGCATTGAACAAGTGAAGCGCATTGCACGTAAAGGTTGACTGATCATCTCCACACCTAACTGCCATCTAGTTTGAATCCGCTTTATGCCATTGTTGTTGTTGCCTATTTATTTGTTTTGAATTATATCCAACCAGCTGATTAAAAGTATTGATAAAATGCCTATTAAAATGTTTAAATAGAAGGGCAATTAAATTGCTTTTAATCGTGCAGATTGTGTGACAGGCACAGAAGAAGATAGCTTCGACAGTATCAAGTACAGTGAAAACTCTTCTAATGGACACTCCTGTTAAGCGGACATCCCACTTGGGCGAACATTTTCTTTCTTAACACCATAAGTCAGGCTACCTTCACTCTGTACTAGGTGGACTTTCCGCTCAAGAGAGTGCCCACAGCATGGATAGGGTTAAGGTTAGGGGAAAGGGTATTTTTATATTCGGCAGGCTTAATAAAGAGCTATTGGCTTTCATTTTAGCTCACTTTCTTGCTCGACATTTTGGTTTTGAATATTTCAAAGAATCGCTAGAGCCTACACGGAGAGAAATAATCGTGAAACTCGTACTTAAATCAGGTATATGTACTAATAAAAAGTACTATAATGCCTGCAAGACTTGACCGTATTAGCTGATCAACAAAATTAACTCAACATTACCTTTATCTTCGACTTCCTGTAAAAGAAAAGATGTCTTAGGCTAAGCCCAAGCAGCTCTGAAAACAAACCCCATTTGGAATTAGGGCGAGTTTTTCATTAATCAAAATTTAAGCCCATATTGAACTTTCATATCCTTAAAAGATAGAAATAATCCACATGCTAAAACGTAAGCAATTTTGCCAGAACCTCATTTGGACCATTTACAACGCGCACTAAATCTAGTATATATTTTAAAGCGCATTATACGTCCAACTTTATCCATTGAACTTTCCAACTGACTAAGCGGCCAACTCATTATTATTATTCCATATATTAAATATTGTGTAAACGAAGCCCAATCAAGTAAATCGATCAGAATTTATTCCCTAATAACCAAAACATATTATTATCGTGCAACATATTTTGCTACGCATGACTTCGGACAAAGTTGTATTTTGTCAAAGGAACTATCATAACAGTTATAATTGCCGATTTGTATACTTGGTATATATAAATATGTAGCTGAAATCCTTGCCGCCTTATATTATCTCAATGTTAATATTGACTTTGGCACGCAGGACATTGTATGCATGCCAATAGGATTTGATCGTGAACTCGCCCAGGCCGATGGGCAGCGGCAAATAGAAGGTCTCGTCGAGCCGCATGTGATCCAAAATAATATCGTGCTGCAATAAATAAGATATATAGAATTCATTTAAGTTAGTTTAGTTGGGCTCACGCACATCGAAGGGACACGTATGATTCATGTTCGAATACATGTCAAAGCGCATGAACTTATAGAGAGCATTGGCAACGGGATTGCGATTTTCGGACTCCAAAAAACGGCAACCATCCACATTGAAGGTGTATAACGGGGGCTTGAAGAAGCCGCGTCGCATGATTTCTGCACGAATCTGCCGTGGAATATGGGTGTATATAGATATATATATATATATATAAATACAGATCTATATGACAGGCACCTACCGTTATATTAGTCACCGGTGTTTGCAGCAATTTAACAACTATGGAAATATCCTTGACATCACGACCTATAGGCTTCATAATGCAGCTCTGGACGACTGCAAATGCCGGATCCTCGGCCTGACAGTCAAGTGCCTTAAACCTAATGTGTGTACTCCGTGTGGGTGTGGCAAGCACAGCAACAAGAAGCAAAACTATAGACATTGTTTCCATAAGGAAATCAGGCCTCGATACACCGACCAACTGGGCGGCAGCTCTACAAACCGAATAATAGACTAAAGTAGCTCATTAGCTTGTTGCTAAATAACAGTTGATGTTAGTTTTTTCAACAATCCAATTGAAATTATAAATCAATCAAGGTTAATTCTGGCATAATAATTATTTATTTCTAATTGTGCACAGTTTTGACACAGCGAGCTCTGCTGCTCAGAAAGAAGTCTATTCGAGAAGTCTAACGTAATATGCGCGTTTCATTACTCAGTTGTAAACTTTCGAATGTAAGCCTTATTCAATTTGCAAATTCCAGCTGACAATGGCGCGCAGAATATTATAGGCCCTCCAATGGAGCTTAATCATATATTCACCCACAGCGATGGGCAGATTGAGGTTGAGATTCTCGTCGATTCGCAGGTGATCCAAAATTAAATCGTGCTAAGAACCAATAATTATTATACCCATTCAGTCAAAAGCGGAAGGACTCACATTATAGGGACACGAGTGATTGATATTGGTAAAGACGTCCAGGCGCAAGGACTTGTAAATGCTGCTGGCAATAGGATTGCGGCGTTTACCTATCCAAAAATGGCAGCCATCGATATCGCCAGCGTATAACATGTGCTTTATATAGCCGCGGCGCGCCACTTCAAAATGTATCTGCAGAAAGATAAATAGGCTGCTAGGCTCTACTTGAATCGAAACCTACCGAAACGTTATTCACCGGCACCTGCAGCAATATGATCTTTCCGTTGATCTCCTTGATGCCTCGACTCACTGGCTTTATTATGCAATTCTCGAAGACACAAAAGTTCGGATCCACCGCTTGACATTCAAGTCCTGTTAACTTAAAGCGCACGCTGCCAGTGGGCGTGGCAGTTAGACAAAACAGCACAAGTATTTTAAACATGGTCGTAGCCAAACCCCGAAGTTGGCTTTTGTACTACAGAACTGGGACTAATGCGTGGATATTGTTTGTATTAGAATATAATGGAAGCCAGACTGATATTGTGGATAGTTATTTACTGGAATATAATGAGAGCTGAGCCTAAAAACGATCTAGATATAATTAATTACACCAAATTAAAAGCAAATACGTTTTAATGGCTGTTCAATACCAAAATATGCACAAGTAAGAGGCTTTGGTCGGGAAATCTCGACTAGGGAATACCCTGAACCCTTTGATTCCAGCACCGACTGCAGCTCTTTAGTAGCTCTCAAAGCCTTATTCAATTTGAAAATTCCAGCTGATAATTGCGCGCAGAATATTATAGGCCCTCCAATGGAGCTTAATCATATATTCACCCACAGCGATGGGCAGATTGAGGTTGAGATTCTCGTCGAGTCGCAGGTGATCCACAATAATATCGTGCTGAAACCCAATAATTATTATACCCATTCAGTCAAAAGCGGAAGGACTCACATTATAGGGACACGAGTGATTGATATTGGTAAAGACGTCCAGGCGCAAGGACTTGTAAATGCTGCTGGCAATAGGATTGCGGCGTTTACCTATCCAAAACTGGCAGCCATCGATATCGACGGCGTATAACATGTGCTTTACATATCCGCGGCGCGTCAGTTCAAGGCGTATCTGTAGAAACATAAATAGGCTGCTAGGCTCTACTTGAATCGAAACCTACCGAAACATTATTCACCGGCACCTGCAGCAATATGATCTTTCCGTTGATCTCCTTGATGCCTCGACTCACTGGCTTTATTACGCAATTCTCGAAGGCACAAAACTTCGGATCCAACGCTTGACATTCAAGTCCTGTTAACTTAAAGCGCGCGCTGCCCGTGGGCGTGGCAGCCAGAAAGAGCAGTAGAAATGTTTTAAACATGCTCGTAGCCGAACCCCGAAGTTGGCTTTTGTACTACAGAACTGGGACTAAAGCGTGAATATTGCTTTTATTAGAATATATTGGAAGCTGGACTTTTAAATGATATTGTGAATGTTTATTAATTGAAATTTAATGAGAGCTGCACTCAAAAGCGATGTAGATAAAATTAAATAATCCAAATTAAAAGCAAATAGTTATGTTTATTGAAAACTACTCAATGTCCCAAATCTAAATATATGCTATGAAAGCAAATGTATATGCAAAAAGTCGTTAAGTAAATGACATAAAAATAATTAAACAAAATTAAACAAGTAACGGGTTCTAGTCGGGAGCTCCCGACTAGGGGATACCCTGAACTCTCTTCTTCCAGCATCAAATGAATATATATATTCTATTTTACAAGATACATGTCAAGTTTGGTGACTCTAGCTCTTATTATTTACCAAAATTGCCCAAAAAACAGGATATCGGTATCGATTTTTATCGATTGCTTGGAAACGGAGTAAGTTATCGATTATCCGAAACAAACTCGATCTGCGCGGGAACTAGGAGCATCTACATCTAAAATTTCTCTAGCTCTTATAGGTTCTGAGATCCTTGCTTTCATACATACGGACGGACAGACAGACGGAAATTTCTAGATCGACTCGGCTATTGATGCTGATCAAGAATATATATACTTTGTGGGGTCGGAGAAGCTCCTTCTGCCTGTTACATACATTTGGATTTTGCACAAAAACAATATACCCTTGTACCCATTTTTAATGGGTTCAGGGTATAAAAAGCCAAACTTCGTGAAAATCGGATGAGATTTGGCCGAGATATGGGAGTGGTAATTTTTGACCCATGTCTACGTACGAATCTTGGGGTAAGATTTGGACATATATTTCGACTAAAAAATCGGTGTTCAGATTTGAATGCCAGATTAATCTAAAGGGAAAACCATGAAGAAAAAGCTAAACTTCGTGAAAATCGGATGAGATTTGACCGAGTTATGCGGGTGGTAATTTTTGACCCATGTCTATATAGGAATTTTGGGGTAAGATTTGGACATGAATTTCGAGCAAAAAATCGGTGTCGATATTTGAATGCGACATTAATCTAGAGGGAAAACCATGAAGAAAAAGCCAAACTTCGTGAAATTCGGATGAGATTTGGCCGAGATATGGGGGTGGTCATTTTTGACCCATGTCTTACCATGGGGTAAGATTTGGACATATATTTCGACTAAAAAATCGGTGTTCAGATTTGAATGCCAGATTAATCTAGAGGGAAAACCATGAAGAAGAAGCCAAACTTCGTGAAAATCGGATGAGATTTGGCCGAGATATGGGGGTGGTAATATTTGACCCATGTCTACATACGAATCTTGGGGTAAGATTTGGACATGAATTTCGACTAAAAAATCGGTGTTCAGATTTGAATGCCAGATTAATCTAGAGGGAAAACCATGAAGAAAAATCCAAACTTCGTGAAAATCGGATGAGATTTGGCCGAGATATGGGGGTGGTAATTTTTGACCCATGTCTATATAGGAATTTTGGGGTAAGATTTGGACATGAATTTCGACCAAAAAATCGGTGTTTAGATTTGAATGCCAGAATAATCTAGAGGGAAAACCATGAAGAAAAATCCAAACTTCGTGAAAATCGGATGAGATTTGGCCGAGATATGGGGGTGTTAATTTTTGACCCATGTCTATATAGGAATTTTGGGGTAAGATTTGGACATGAATTTCGACCAAAAAATCGGTGTTCAGATTTGAATGACACATTAATCTAGAGGGAAAACCATGAAGAAAAATACACACTTCGTGAAAATCGGATGAGATTTGGCCGGGATATGGGAGTGGTAATTTTTGACCCATGTCTACATACGAATCTTGGGGTAAGATTTGGACATGAATTTCGACCAAAAAATCGGTGTCGAGATTTGAATGCCACATTAATCTAGAGGGAAAACCATGAAGAAAAAGCCAAAGTTCGTGAAAATCGGATGAGATTTGGCCGAGATATGGGGCTGGTCATTTTTGACCCATGTCTATTTACGAATCTTGGGGTAAGATTTGGACATGAATTTCGACTAAAAAATCGGTGTTCAGATTTGAATGCCAGATTAATCTAGAGGGAAAACCATGAGGAAAAATCCAAACTTCGTGAAAATCGGATGAGATTTGGCCGAGATATGGGGGTGGTCATTTTTCACCCATTTCTATATACGAATCTTGGGGTAAGATTTGGACATGAATTTCGACCAAAAAATCGGTGTCGAGATTTGAATGCCAGATTAATCTAGAGGGAAAACCATGAAGAAAAATCCAAACTTCGTGAAAATCGGATGAGATTTGGCCGAGATATGGGGGTGGTCATTTTTCACCCATTTCTATATACGAATCTTGGGGTAAGATTTGGACATGAATTTCGACCAAAAAATCGGTGTCGAGATTTGAATGCCACATTAATCTAGAGGGAAACCCATGAAGAAAAAGCCAAACTTCGTGAAAATCGGATGAGATTTGACCGAGTTATGGGGGTGGTAATTTTTGACCAATGTCTATATAGGAAATTTGGGGTAAGATTTGGACATGAATTTCGACTAAAAAATCGTTGTTCAGATTTGAATGCCACATTAATCTAGAGGGAAAACCATGAAGAAAAATCCAAACTTCGTGAAAATCGGATGAGATTTGACCGAGTTATGGGGGTGGTAATATTTGACCCATGTCTATATAGGAATTTTGGGGTAAGATTTGGACATGAATTTCGACCAAAAAATCGGTGTCGAGATTTGAATGCCAGATTAAGCTAGAGGGAAAACCATGAAGAAAAATCCAAACTTCGTGAAAATCGGATGAGATTTGGCCGAGATATGCGGGTGGTCATTTTTCACCCATGTCTATATACGAATCTTGGGGTAAGATTTGGACATGAATTTCGACTAAAAAATCGGTGTTCAGATTTGAATGCCACATTAATCTAGAGGGAAAACCATGAAGAAAAAGCCAAACTTCGTGAAAATCGGATGAGATTTGGCCGAGATATGGGAGTGGTAATTTTTGACCCATGTCTATATAGGAATTTTGGGGTAAGATTTGGACATGAATTTCGACCAAAAAATCGGTGTTCAGATTTGAATGACACATTAATCTAGAGGGAAAACCATGAAGAAAAATCCAAACTTCGTGAAAATCGGATGAGATTTGGCCGAGATATGGGAGTGGTAATTTTTGACCCATGTCTACGTACGAATCTTGGGGTAAGATTTGGACATATATTTCGACTAAAAAATCGGTGTTCAGATTTGAATGCCAGATTAATCTAGAGGGAAAACCATGAAGAAAAAGCCAAACTTCGTGAAAATCGGACGAGATTTGACCGAGTTATGGGGGTGGTAATTTTTGACCCATGTCTATATAGGAATTTTGGGGTAAGATTTGGACATAAATTTCGACCAAAAAATCGGTGTTCAGATTTAAATGACACATTAATCTAGAGGGAAAACCATGAAGAAAAATCCACACTTCGTGAAAATCGGATGAGATTTGGCCGAGATATGGGAGTGGTAATTTTTGACCCATGTCTACGTACGAATCTTGGGGTAAGATTTGGACATATATTTCGACTAAAAAATCGGTGTTCAGATTTGAATGCCACATTAATCTAGAGGGAAAACCATGAAGAAAAATCGAAACTTCGTGAAAATCGGATGAGATTTGACCGAGTTATGGGGGTGGTAATTTTTGACCCATGTCTATATAGGAATTTTGGGGTAAGATTTGGACATGAATTTCGACCAATAAATCGGTGTCGAGAATTGAATGCCAGATTAAGCTAGAGGGAAAACCATGAAGAAAAATCCAAACTTCATTAAAATCGGATGAGATTTGACCGAGTTATGGGGGTGGTAATTTTTGACCCATGTCTACATACGAATCTTGGGGTAAGATTTGGACATATATTTCGACTAAAAAATCGGTGTTCAGATTTGAATGCCAGATTAATCTAGAGGGAAAACCATGAAAAAAGCCAAACTTCGTGAAAATCGGATGAGATTTGGCCGAGATATGGGAGTGGTAATTTTTGACCCATGTCTACATACGAATCTTGGGGTAAGATTTGGACATATATTTCGACTAAAAAATCGGTGTTCAGATTTGAATGCCACATTAATCTAGAGGGAAAACCATGAAAAAAAGCCAAACTTCGTGAAAATCGGATGAGATTTGGCCGAGATATGGGAGTGGTAATTTTTGACCCATGTCTATATAGGAATTTTGGGGTAAGATTTGGACATGAATTTCGACCAAAAAATCGGTGTCGAGATTTGAATGCCACATTAATCTAGAGGGAAAACCATGAAGAAAAAGCCAAACTTCGTGAAAATCGGATGAGATTTGGCCGAGATATGGGGGTGGTCATTTTTCACCCATGTCTATATACGAATCTTGGGGTAAGATTTGGACATGAATTTCGACCAAAAAATCGGTATCGAGATTTGAATGCCACATTAATCTAGAGGGAAAACCATGAAGAAAAATCCAAACTTCGTGAAAATCGGATGAGATTTGACCGAGTTATGGGGGTGGTAATTTTTGACCCATGTCTATATAGGAATTTTGTGGTAAGATTTGGACATGAATTTCGACCAAAAAATCGGTGTCGAGATTTGAATGCCACATTATTCTAGAGGGAAAACCATGAAGAAAAAGCCAAACTTCGTGAAAATCGGATAAGATTTGGCCGAGATATGGGGGTGGTAATTTTTGACCCATGTCTACATACGAATCTTGGGGTAAGATTTGGACATATATTTCGACTAAACAATCGGTGTTCAGATTTGAATGCCAGATTAATCTAGAGGGAAAACCATGAAGAAAAAGCCAAACTTCGTGAAAATCGGATGAGATTTGGCCGATTTATGGGGGTGGTAATTTTTGACCCATGTCTATATAAGAATTTTGGGGTAAGATTTGGACATGAATTTCGACCAAAAAATCGGTG